AGACTGCTGTGCGTTAGTTGACTGCTTTCAATCCTCTGAAACTCCAGCCTAGCTTCCAGAACTCCCTCCGTGAACTAAGCCAGGAACCAAAGGGTGGGGATGATCGCTGTCTCCATCTGCCTCGAGAAGGGGCGTTATCAGGTAGGAACCAACGCCCCATTCTCCAACGTTGGTGGAGACAGCGGTCATGCATGGGTTAACTCAGTCAGTAACCAATAGAACTGAGTCTACCAAAGTGATGTCATCGCCTCAGAGGAGTGTCCTTCCGCTTTTGGGACGAAGGAGATAAGTAGACTGCTGTGTGTTAGTCGACTGCTTTCAATCCTCCGAAACACTAACCTAGTTCCAGAACTCCCTCCACAACTAGGCCAGGAACCAAGAGTGGGGATGACCGCTGTCTCCACTTGCCTCGAGAAGGGGCGTATCAGGTAAGAACCAACGCCCCATTCTCTCCTCTGGCATCTTCTCTCTACGTTTCCAGCTGTCTGCCTGCCTGCCTGCCTTAATTCTGTTTCTTTGACATATGAATAGGAAGAATGAAATTTTGCATGCTTGCCACATTGGTGTATACCTTGAGTGAACTGCTTCGCTGTGGTTCTCACTAATCTTACTGTCTTTCTCTAGCTTAAAAATTCTTGGATTAGCCAACCTGCTCCCTCCAAGCTACTTGCTATCTTAATTTTCTTAGTTTGAACATCAGCCACTAAAGTGTGTTGTGGAATGCTATAGTGAATATTGATTCACTATAGCATTCTACTGATCTACTGCTATTGATTCTTGTGTAGCTGTCATTCCCATATTTACTTGCTTCATTTGAGACCCCTGGATTGCAGATCTTCTAGATATCTGCCATAAAATTAAGTTCCAAAGGCAGCCATTCTAAGTTCTAAGTTTACATTCGCATTCTGAAAGGAACGACAGGCAGAGTTTTCTCTTCAATCTTAACACTTTCACTTCCGACAGTAAAGTATTTTGCCAAGAAGTAAATGTATCCAAAAATGGATTTTTGTTTCAGTTTAATAATATGAATTGTATCTGATGGGAGAGAACATGATAATTAAAAAACATTAAAGAAGAATGAGAAGAATTGAATAGATGATTTGTATTTCCCTTCATAAAGAACCTCAGATACTAGTCCCCAAATTTAAAAGATGGTAATAGGCACTCATCAGAATTGATTTTTTTGCACTCATGTCAGAAACACCAAGATGCTTCCAAGTTGAAAGAATTAACGTGACATCACCGTGGACCAGGAGATGCTTAGTTGGGGACTCTTTTCATGTTCCTGGCAGGAGCTGGAGCAAATGATGAGAACTCATTTTGCCTCACGGCTGCATTCAGGACTTGAACATGGGCTTGCTAACTTCCAACCCAGCATCCTAACTGTGAGAGCCACCATGCTCCTATCAGAATTGATAACAAAAGATATTGTTACTGGACGTTTGAATTTTTTTTTAAAAAAAGATCATTGATCCAGATGGCATCTATTTTCTATATATTTTTAAACAAACTAAATGTTGTTCTAAAAAACTGTGTCCCTATGAGAAGATTTACATGCAGTCAAGGTACTATTAAATTTCAAGAAAGGATTCGGAACTGCTAGTTAGTTTAATTAAGGATGTACAAAATGTTCCAAGCCTGAATCCTTCCATACACTGAGCAGCTGGTTTTAAATAGCTGATGCCCAGTCTGAACATGTAGACAAAAGTGTTTCAGGGGAGTGAAACTGGGCAAAAACCAAGAATGAGAGTTATCCTTGGTGACAGCATTGCAAATAAGCAATCATGGCAGTGAAGAGAAAGATGAGAAGGTGCTGATGAGACTATGAAGCTGGATTGCCCAGTGGATATACTGTTCTGGAACATCAGTGCTTAACTTAAGTTAAAGCCAAAGTGGAGGAAGAAGGTAGCTGAACACTAGCCTTGACATACTTACGCTGTAAAAATCACTCTGCCACCCCTCTAGATCTAAATTTGGCCCAAAAGCTAGAACCATCAAACCATTTCAGGTTTTGTTTCTAATGAAGAAAAGAATTTCTAGCTCAGGGTTGAGCTCAGGAGTTGGTGCTCTCTGAGCTTGGTTGATTTCTTGCAGATGTTTCATTACCAACTTTAGGGTTAGAGAGGACCATTGATTTGAAAGAGGGGGGAAATATTCTATGTATGCTAGAATTGAATACTCCTCGCTCAACAGAGGGGGAGGAATAAGACACCACTTATCTTCAGTTTACAACACAGTCTTTGCAGCAGTTCCAAAAAGATTCCACAGCCAATTGCACCCTGATTCAGATATCTGACACAGATAAAGCCCCAAGTGGCCTCAACAGCTCTCAGAAAGTGCTAAAGACCAGATGACTGCAAATAAATAAAATTCTTTCACCACCACCCATCCTATCAGAACCTATCCTTCCATACCCCCATCCCCATCAGAATTGATGACGCTTCTTGGATGAGAAGTGAAGCATTTTCTTCTTCCTCAAAGAAAAAAAAACCAGTCCAGTTGCCTTTTGAAGAAAAGAAAAGCACTTTTGGATCAACTATGACCTGGATAACAATCCAGACAATCATCAGTGCTAGGTTTTGTTTCTGCCACTCCAGGACAAATCTAAAATGGTTCAAGAGGGCTTTTATAAAACTATGTTCATTTCTGGTTTGAAACAGGACCTTTCCATTTTGCATACTGTATAATTTGAGTTTTAATATCTATTCTGGGTGAATTGGAGGAATGTGTTAAATTACTAACCATCTAGAAGGACATGTCTTCTGATTTAGAATCAGTATGTCTCTCACAAGCAAACCTAGGTATTATATTGAGAAATGTAAATTATGCAACATCCTTCATTTTCTGAGACATTTGTGCTGGTTAATTTGATTGAACAACTAATTTATACTTGGATTTCCTGAATGTTGCTGACAATTTTTTTTTAAAGCAGAGTTCAAAACTAGAAGTAGATATTTTCTTCCAATAGGAAAAATCCTGCTCCAATAGGAAAACATTGAAATTTTTTTTACAACCCACAGATGGCACGTGGAGCACGTGAGGCATTGCCCTATCAGCTCCAGCGTGCATGTGTGTGCTAGCCAGCTCCTTTTTCATGCAACACGCGAAAACTGGAAGTAAGGGAACGGACTTCAGGGAAGCCTCCTGAAGACTCCAGAAGGAAAAAAACAGCCCTACAGGCAAACCAGAAGTCACCGTTCCTGAACTTCTGGGTTGCCCATGCGGCTGTTTTTTGCCCTCCAGAGCTTTTGGAGGCGCTTCCTGAGGGCGTCTGGGGAGAGGGCAAGGGAGGCTGTTTTCGTGCACACCAGGCTCCTAGAAAGCCTCTGGAGGCTGGGGAGGACGAAAAATGGGTCCATCATGAGCCAAAAGTGGGGGGGAGGGCAGGGGCCACACATGCATGTGAACCGGGGGGGGGTTGCATGCATAGCATCATGGGTGTGGCACGCCCGCATGAGACCCCTGTGCTCCCTCCGCTTTTGGCATACGATTTGAAAAAAATTAGCTATCACTGACCTATAGACATTTTGTTCTTTATACTATAACATTCTGGCTCAGTATATATTTTTGTTATTGTTTTCTCTCTTAACAGTCTATGGTGCCCCAGAAGATGGAGAGCTGGAAAGAAAACAATCTTTTTCTCTAAAGAATCAGCTGTTGAGTAAGATACAAATGTATACTAATTTATTTAAATATATAATATTATGCTGAGAAATCTACAAACTCTGCTAATTAAGTTTTCCCACCAATGCATATTATAACTCTAATGTCTACATTGTATTCCCATAGCTATTATTTGTATCTAGTTTGCATTCTGCATATATACTTGCAATACCTTCTGAGCAAACATGTCTTAATTAGCAGTGATGTGATTGTATAGACCAGTGGTTCTTAAATTCTTTGACCTAATTATCCCTTTTCCTGGTCTTCAATGTCATTACTCCTTAAACATTAAAAAAAACTTGTTTTACATAAGTGTTTCAGCAGTGGCAGTCCTAAACTAGATACAAACCTCAGGAACAAGCAATTAAAAATTGCTTCATTACACCAAGATATGCCCAAATTATCCCTTGAAGGTAATTACCCCCAGTTTCACCCCTGTAATTGACAAAGATTAGTCTTTGAAACAACCCCAATTCTTCTGGAAAATGTAATTGTTTCAGTGCTAGATAAAGAATGCTTTACCAGCTCCCATGCATGTTGCAAAGCCACTAAGTCC